GAGCCCAGGTTGGACCCCTGAAAAGTTGCGCCTCCCCAATGCTGAATTATAATAAGCATTTGCGTTGGGGGCGCGAGTTCGTTGCCCCTCTTAGACCCAAGCAATCGCTTCGCGATGGCATCTTTCTCTCTAGGGCCCCAAAAGCGCCCCCGCAAAATTCGGGGGGCATGTGGGGGCGCTTGGGGCCCTTCTTGGGGGCCGCTCTTGGGGGGCCGAGGGGCCTCGCTCTTTGGTGGGTCCAACAACAAGCTATAGAAACTTACATATGATATTGAGGACCATCGTGCTTATGTTTTATACGTTGATATATGTATGTCATGCCGTTATATACATGTATGTATGTGTTGGTACGCCGCAGCCGTGATAAGTTGTCTGAGCGGCTCGCAAAGGCTTGCCTTGCTGATCAAGTCAGCGGCATCATGCCGAAATCATGCGCCAAACGAGATGCCAAAGCGCCGTCATCTGCGCTTGGACAGCATATTTCTACGTCTTTCACAATGCTGGCGCGCAGCAGCAACGCAACCACCTACTTTGCCAGCAGGGATGTGCACGACCTCGCTCATCGACAGACGCAGTATGGGAGCCTAGTCAAGGAGTTTCTCGTCGATGCTATCGACGGGGGCACCGTCGCGATCGCGTACCTGTGCCCGTTCGCGTGGCTGCGTGTGCTGTGCAATGATTGCCCGTGGTTCTTACCATTTCTTCTTATTGCTTGCTTGACGAATGGCAATGGCGCTATCTGCATATATTTCAATGAGACCCGTCCTGGGAACGCCCTTCGGCCCGATATGGCACGGGCTGTAAATTCAATATATTGGGTTATTGCAGATTTGCCTGACTGGTTTCGGGCAAGGCGGTGCTCGTGGTTCTGTTTCTCGCATGTGCCAGTATGGACCATGAGCCGCATCAAGGGAGGAAGCTCAGCTCTATTCTTGAAAATGTTGGAAGTGTTTTGGTCCCCTGATGACTTAAATTTCGAACGGCTGGGTGTCATCGTGAACGGCTTGTACCTAACATTGAAGTATGGGTTTCTTATGGTTGACGAGCAAGCAGAAAAGGACACGCTTGGTGTCATTGGGGCAACAGGGTTTCCAGGGTTTCGCATATGTCTTAGCTGCGCACGCCGTGTCCAAACTGACAGAGATATCGCACCAGGCAGTGGATTCGTGCATTTCTCCGAAACCGACATGGCCAAGTTTGAACGCAACACGCCAGAGCTTATCCAAGCATCCGTGGCCGAACTTGCGGCCCAGAAAGACGCGGTGAGCCCAACTGAGTTCAAGAAATTGCAGACCGCGCTCGGCATCTCATTCGAACATTGCGTTGTTCCCGCCAGCCCGTATCGGGATATGCTGAATATCCCAGCAAGCAGGTGCGCCGACTGGTTCCACGACCTCGTGGCATCTGGCGGCTGTTTCCAGTGCGGAGCCAACCGAATCATTTACGACATCGTGGCTGCGGGCGTTGGCGCTGGCGAGTTGGACGCATTCAACAAAAATGTCGTAACCACGCATCAGAAGTTGAGTGCTTCATTCTTCGTGGATAGATGTGTTCCAGCTCGGTATTCTCATATCAAAGAATTTGGATCGGAAGTAATGACAGCGATCTCAGTTGTACTCTTGTTGTTGAATTGCATATTTTCGGACAAACCCGAATTCGAGGGGCAGATTTCTCTGTGTCTGCTGATGAAACAGATCCTGGATTTGCTTAACGCAGGCGACGCCTCTGTTCATAAAGCAGATGAGCTCGACGACCTCTTACATGCTTTTCACGCCATGTTCATGCGCCTATACCCTGGTTGCGCGGTGCCCAAGTTGCACTTGCGCCGCCGCGTCCCAGAAGTATTCAGGAGATCTTGGGTTTCAGACCCACAGCCCCAAAACAATGCCCATTATCAAATGGTCCCCCCTCCCCCTTTACTCCCTCACATCTTGCCTCCTCATCCTCACCCTTTCATCGTCATCTTATCCTGTTCCTCCTCCCCATCTGCACTGATCATCGTTATTGTCCTTCCTCCCCTCGTCCTCATCCCTGTCCTCCTCCTTCCCCCTCCCTCCCTGTTACGCGTGCATTCCCCCTAGGACGCATCTCAAGAATGTGTGCTGCATCCCTGGTGAGCGATTGCGTCACAGGACAAAGGAGTTCGGGCGCTTTGCTTTTCGTTCCTTCCAGCGGACACTATTGCTCAGGACTGTCAAATCCATGCTGGATGATTGCGCCAAGTCCGACTATTTTTCTCGCCTGCGACTCGAAGGCAAACCACTGCGTCGCGCACTCAACGTGCTCGGCGTTATGAGGCGCTGTTGGCAACGCGTTACAGCTGGACTGACATCCATTGCAAAGGGGTTCATTGTCCACTGGCAATGTGGGGGTATGATGGTCGGCCTCGTTCGTGGCATCGTCGTCATCGATGGGAAGGTTTTCGCTTCCGCTCACCGCTTACACAGGTTGGGGCCAGATACGTTTGCGGCTGCTGTTGCAGAGGAACTCATCGTTGAGTGCGTGGTGATTGTGGTGCCCTGACACACGTGAGGATCGGCGACACATTTAAAGTGTTGATGCCTTAGTACATTCGTGGTTCGCCCCAATGCGCAATCGTGTCTTGGACAGTGCATCACAGACGCAAAAACAGTTACGTTCAGTTATGCCAACGTACGCCAAGTTATATTGTAGTGGCCTCCGGCCAGTGCCGCCGATCCGGGGCGCTCTTAATCCTCCTACTCCTCCTCTTCTTGCTTCTCCTCCTCCTCCCGCATCCTCTTCCTTCTCCTCCTCCTTCTCGTGCGCTTTCCGCTCCTCCTTTCCCGCCTCGGTGTCCTCCTACTCCTCCCTCATCTCCTCTTCTTCCTCCTGCTCTACGTTTTGTTCCCCCAAATTCGTTTTTTGTGTGTAAAAAAACGTGCTTCCTCTCCTGATCTTTTTTTTTCTCCTCCGAGAGCGTCTCGTCGTTCCTCGAGGACCGGCCCACCCTGTCCTGGCCCCGTCTAGGGGTTAATAGAGAGCCCTTAGGGGGCTTCAAGATAGCCTCAAGAGGGCTCTAAGAGAAGGAGGCCCAGGTCTCATCGAACCGCAGTTCTCGATGAGACCTGGCGCGCTCCTCCTGGAGCCCTCTTGGGGTCCTCTAGAGAAAGCTTGTCCCACTCCTGGTGCCCCTCGAGAGCCCTCTCACACTGTCTGGGTCGGCTCTTCTGGCTCCAAGAGATTTCCAACCGGGCCTTACGAGGGTTCCAAGAGGGGTCCCAGAGAAACCAAAATGGGCTTCAGGAGAGTCCCAAGAGGGGCGCGCGAGGTCTCATCGGTCCCGGGATGGGACCCGGGACCGGCGCATGCAGGACCCTGAGCCCGGACCGGCGCACCGGGTTTCGCGCCGGTCCCGCTTCCCGGGTCTCGCGCAGGTCCCGGGTCCCGGGTCTCGCGCCGGTCCCGGGTCCCGGGTCCTGGGTCCCGAGCCGGTCCCGGGTCCCGGGTCCCGCGCCGGTCCCGGGTCCCAGGTCCTGGGTTACGCGCCGGTCCCGAGCCCCGGGTCCCGGGTCCTGGGTCCCGCGCCGGTCCCGGGTCACGGGTCCCGGGTTCTGCGCCGGTCCCGGGTCCCAGGTCTCGCGCTGGTCCCGGGTCCTGGGTCTCACGTCTGCGCTGGTCCGGGTTTCGGGTCCCGCGCCGGTCCCGGGTCGCGGGTCCCGCGTCCGGCGCCGGTCCGGAATCCGGCGCCGGTCCCGGGTCGCGGAGTCCCGGGTCCCGAGTCCCGCGCCGGTCCCGGGTTCCGGGTCCCGGGTCCCGCGCCGGTCCGGGTCCGGGTCTTGCGCCGGTCCCAGGTCCCGGGTTTCGCGCCGGTCCCGTCTCCCGGGTGTCGCGTTGGTCCCCGGTCGCGGATCTCGCGCCGGTTCCGGGTCCTATAGGTCCCGGGTCCAGCGCCGTCCAGCGCCGGTCCCGGGTCCCGGGTCCCGCGCCGGTTCCGGGTCCCGGGTCCGCAATCGTGTCTTGGATAGTGCATCACAGACGCAAAAACAGTTACGTTCAGTTCTGCCAACATACACCAACTTATATACTATTGTAACGTATGTATGTATATATATATATATATTTATATATATATACAGCACAAGTGATTTATAACGGTCAGGGTTACATAAATCGACTTATACTTGGTTGTGCAAGTTATAGCTTGTGTTGTGGAAATTATAACATATGATATAACCAAGATATACATTGCGTAAGTTATTTTTGTTAGATAGTTGCAGGGGCCGCGGCCAGAGTCGGGGCCGGGGCAGAGTCGGGGCCGCGGCCGGTACCGGGACTGTCATTTGATATATCGCCCCGGGGCCAGGGCCGGGACTGGGGCCAGAGCCGGGACCGGGAGCCGGGGCCGGCCAGCAGGGGAGCTGAGACGGGGACCGGGTCGGAGCCCGGGCCGGGACCATGCAGGGCCCGGCCGGAGCCGGGACTGAGGCCAGGGCTGAGACCGGGGCCGGGACTGGGGCCGGGGCCGGGGGCCGGGACCTGGGGTTGGGGCCGGAGCCGGGGCCGGGGCTGGGATTGGGGCCGGTGCCGGGCCCGCGGCGAACCCCCTCCTTTTGCGTTCATTCACGTCGGGAAAAACGTTGGGAGAAAACATCGGAAAACACGTCGGCAAAAAAAACGTGGGAAGAAAACGTCCCCCCCACCCTCGCACAGCGAAGCTTGAGCGAGCTCAAGCCCACGCTCTCAGAAACTCACACGCCGGATCGTCGGACTTCATCTTCAAGGACGACTGTCACATCTTTTTCAACAGCGACCTCCGGCATCAGCATGACGGAAAGCAGCAGCACGACCTCTCCGTACAGTACGACCGTCACTTATACTTCACCTCTCACGTCGACCAGCACAGCCTCTTCGATGAACACCGCGGGCATTAGCATGACGGAAAGCAGCAGCGCGACCTCTCCGTACAGTACGACCGTCACCTACACGTCACCTCTCACGGCGACCGTCACAGCCTCTTCGTTGAGCACCGCGGGCATCAGCGTGACGGAAAGAAGCAGCACGACCTCTCCGTACAGTACGACCGTCACTTACACTTCACCTCTCACGGCGACCGGCACAGCCTCTCCGACGAGCACCGCGGGCATCAGCGTGTCGGAAAGCATCAGCGCGACCTTTCCGTACAGTACGACCGTCACCTACACTTCACCTCTCACGGCGACCGGCACAGCCTCTTCGACGAGCACCGCGGGCATCAGCATGACGGAAAGCAGCAGCAGGACCTTTCCGTACAGTACGACCGTCACCTACACTTCGCCTCTCACGGCGACTGCCACAGCCTCTCCGACGAGCACCGCGGGCATCAGCATGACGGAAAGCAGCAGCACGACCTCTCCGTACAGTACGACCGTCACCTACACTTCACCTCTCACGGCGACTGGCACAGCCTCTTCGACGAGCACCCCGGGCATCAGCGTGACGGAAAGCAGCAGCACGACCTCTCCGTACAGTACGACCGTCACCTATATTTCTTCTCTCACGGCGACCGTCACAGCCTCTTCGACGAGCACCGCGGGCATCAGCGTGTCGGACAGCAGCAGCACGACCTCTCCGTACAGTACGACCGTCACCTACGTTTCACCTCTCACGGCGACTGCCACAGCCTCTTCGACAAGCACCGCGGGCATCAGCGTGACGGAAAGCAGCAGCGCGACCTCTCCGTACAGTACGACCGTCACCTACACTTCACCTCTCACGGCGACCGGCACAGCCTCTTCGACGAGCACCGCGGGCATCAGCGTGACGGAAAGCAGCAGCACGACCTCTCCGTACAGTACGACCGTCACCTATATTTCTTCTCTCACGGCGACTGGCACAGCCTCTTCGACGAGCACCGCGGGCATCAGCGTGACGGAAAGCAGCAGCACGACCTCTCCGTACAGTACGACCGTCACCTATACTTCACCTCTCGCGACGACCGGCACAGCCTCTTCGACGAGCACCGCGGGCATCAGCGTGACGGAAAGCAGCAGCGCGACCTCTCCGTACAGTACGACCGTCACCTACACTTCACCTCTCACGACGACCGCCACAGCCTCTCCGACGAGCACCGCGGGCATCAGCGTGTCGGACAGCAGCAGCACGACCTCTCCGTACAGTACGACCGTCACCTACACTTCACCTCTCACGGCGGCTGGCACAGCCTCTTCGACGAGCACCGCGGGCATCAGCGTGACGGAAAGCAGCAGCACGACCTCTCCGTACAGTACGACCGTCACCTACACTTCACCTCTTACGGCGACCAGCACATCCTCTTCGACGAGCACCGCGGGCATCAGCATGACGGAAAGCAGCGGCGCGACATCTCCGTCTAGTACGACCGTCACCTACACTTCACCTCTCACGGCGACCGCCACAGCCTCTCCGACCAGCACCGCGGGCATCAGCGTGACGGAAAGCAGCAGCGCGACCTCTCCGCACAGTACGACCGTCACCTACACGTCACCTCTCACGGCGACCGTCACAGCCTCTTCGACGAGCACCGCGGGCATCAGCGTGACGGAAAGAAGCAGCACGACCTCTCCGTACAGTACGACCGTCACCTACACTTCACTTGTCACGGCGACCAGCACATCCTCTTCGACGAGCACCGCGGGCATCAGCGTGACGGAAAGCAGCAGCACGACCTCTCCGCACAGTACGACCGTCACCTACACTTCACCTCTCACGGCGACCGCCACAGCCTCTCCGACGAGCACCGCGGGCATCAGCGTGACGGAAAGCAGCAGCGCGACCTCTCCGTACAGTACGACCGTCACTTACACTTCACCTCCCATGGCGACCGCCACAGCCTCTCCGACGAGCACCGCGGGCATCAGCGTGACGGAAAGCATCAGCACGACCTCTCCATACAGTACGACCGTCACCTACACTTCACCTCTCACGGCGACCGCCACCGCTTCTTCGACGAGCACCGCGGGCATCAGCGTGTCGGAAAGCAGCAGCACGACCTCTCCGTACAGTACGACCGTCACCTACACTTCACCTCTCGCGACGACCGTCACAGCCTCTTCGACGAGCACCGCGGGCATCAGCGTGACGGAAAGCAGCAGCGCGACCTCTCCGTACAGTACGACCGTCACCTACACTTCACCTCTCACGGCGACCGCCACAGCCTCTCCGACGAGCACCGCGGGCATCAGCTTGTCGGAAAGCAGCAGCACTATCTCCCCGTACAGTACGACCGTCACCTACACTTCACCTCTCGCGACGACCGTCACAGCCTCTTCGACGAGCACCGCGGGCATCAGCGTGACGGAAAGCAGCAGCGCGACCTCTCCGTACAGTACGACCGTCACTTACACTTCACCTCTCACGGCGACCGCCACAGCCTCTTCGACGAGCACCGCGTCCACATCAAGTCTCACGATGACCAGCACGAACTCTCCAGTGAGTACCACTGCTGGCAGCACGACGGATACCATGAGCACGAGCTCCTCTTTTCACAGCACGACCGTCACGTCCACGTCGAGTCTTGCGATGACCAGCACGAGCTCTCCAATGAGTACCACTGGCGGCGGCGCGACGGATGCCATGAGCACGAGCTCCTCTGTTCACAGCACGACCGTCACGTCCACGTCAAGTATCACGATGACCAGCACGAACTCTCCAATGAGTACCACTGGCGGCAGCACGACGGGTACCATGAGCACGAGCTCCTCTGCTCACAGCACGACCGTCACGTCCACATCAAGTCACACGATGACCAGCACGAGCTCTCCAACGAGTACCACCGGCAGCAGGGCGACGGATACCATGAGCAGGAACTCCTCTGTTCGCAGCACGACCGTCACGTCCACGTCAAGTGTCACGATGACCAGCACGAGCTCTTCAATGAGCACCACTGGCGGCAGCGCAACGGATACCATGAGAAGGAACTCCTCTGTCCACAGCACGACCGTCACGTCCACGTCGAGTCGTGCGATGACCAGCACGGACTCTCCAATGAGCACCACTGGCAGCAGCACGACGGATACCATGAGCACGAGCTCCTCTGTTCACAGCACGACCGTCACGTCCACGTCGAGTCTCGCGATGACCAGCACGAGCTCTCCAATGAGCACCACTGGCGGCAGCACGACGGATGCCATGAGCACGAGCTCCTCTTTCCACAGCACGACCGTCACGTCCACGTCGAGTCACACGATGACCAGCACGAGCTCTCCAATGAGTACCACTGGCGGCAGCACAACGGATACCATGAGAAGGAACTCCTCTGTTCGCAGCACGACCGTCACGTCCACGTCAAGTGTCACGATGACCAGCACGAGCTCTCCAACGAGTACCACCGGCAGCAGCGCGACGGATACCATGAGCATGAATTTCTCTGTTCACAGCACGACCGTCACGTCCACGTCGAGTCTCACGATGAGCAGCAGAAACTCTCCAATGAGTACCACTGGCGCCAGCACGACGGATACCATGAGCACGAGCTCCTCTTTTCACAGCACGACCGTCACGTCCACATCAAGTCACACGATGACCAGCACGAGCTCTCCAATGAGTACCACTGGCGGCAGCGCGACGGATGCCATGAGCACGAGCTCCTCTGTTCACAGCACGACTGTCACGTCCACGTCGAGTCGTGCGATGACCAGCATGAGCTCTCCAATGAGCACCACTGGCAGCAGCGCGACGGATACCATGAGCAGAAACTCCTCTGTTCACAGCACGACCGTCACGTCCACGTCGAGTCGTGCGATGACCAGCACGAACTCTCCAATGAGTACCACTGGCAGCAGCGCGACGGATACCTTGAGCACGAGCTCCTCTGTTCACAGCACGACCGTCACGTACACATCAAGTCACACCATGACCAGCACGAGCTCTCCAATGAGTACCACCGGCGGCAGCACGACGGATGCCATGAGCACGAGCTCCTCTGTTCACAGCACGACCGTCGCGTCCACGTCCACTTACAATTCACCTCTCACGGCGACCGGCACAGCCTCCTCGACGAGCACCGGGGGCACCAGCGTGACGGAAAGCAGCAGCGCGACATCTCCGTACAGTACGACCGTCACCTACATTTCACTTCTCACGGCGACCGGCACCGCGGGCGTGACGGAAAGCAGCAGCACGACCTCACCGTACAGTACGACCGTCACCTACACTTCAGCTCTCACGGCGACCGGCACCGCCTCCTCGACGAGCACCGCGGGCATCAGCGTGACGGAAAGCAGCGGCAGGACCTCTCCGTACAGTACGACCGTCACCTACAATTCACCTCTCACGGCGACCAGCACAGCCTTTTCGACGAGCACCGCGGGCATCAGCGTGACAGATAGCAGCAGCACGACCTCTCCATACAGTACGACCGTCACCTATCTTTCACCTCTCACGGCGACCGGCACAGCCTCTTCGACGAGCACCGCGGGCATCAGCGTGACGGAAAGCAGCATCACGATCACTCCGTGCAGTACGACCGTCACCTATCTTTCACCTCTCACGGCGACAAGCACAGCCTCTTCGACGAACACCGCGGGCATCAGCGTGACAGAAAGCAGCAGCACGACCTCTGCATATAGTACGACCGTCACCTACAATTCACCTCTCACGGCGACCAGCACAGCCTCTTCGACGAGCACCGCAGGCATCAGCGTGACGGAAAGCAGCAGCACGACCTCTCCGTACAGTACGACCGTCACCTACAATTCACCTCTCACGGCGACCAGCACAGCCTTTTCGACGAGCACCGCGGGCATCAGCGTGACGGAAAGCAGCGGCAGGACCTCTCCGTACAGTACGACCGTCACCTACAATTCACCTCTCACGGCGACCGGCACAGCCTCTTCGACGAGCACCGCGGGCATCAGCGTGACGGAAAGCAGCAGCACGACCTCTCCGTACAGTTCGACCGTCACCTACAATTCACCTCTCACGGCGACCGGCACAGCCTCTTCGACGAGCACCGCGGGCATCAGCGTGACGGAAAGCAGCAGCACGACCTCTCCGTACAGTTCGACCGTCACCTACAATTCACCTCTCACGGCGACCGGCACAGCCTCTTCGACGAGCACCGCGGGCATCAGCGTGACGGAAAGCAGCAGCACGAACTCTCCGTACAGTACGACTGCCACAGACTCTTCGACGAGCACCGCGGGCATCAGCGTGACGCAAAGCAGCAGCACGAACGCTCCAATGAGTACCACTGGCCGCAGCGCGACGGTTACCATGAGCACGAGCTCCTCTGTTCACAGCACGACCGTCGCGTCCACGACAAGTCTCGCGATAACCAGCACGAGCTCTCCACTGAGCACCACTGGCAGCAGCAAGGCGGATACCGTGAGCACGAGGTCCTCTATTCATAGCACGACCGTCACGTCCACGTCAAGTGTCACGATGACCAGCACGAGCTCTCCAATGAGTACCACTGGCGGCGGCGCGACGGATACCATGAGCACGAGCTCCTCTTTTTACAGTACGACCGTCACGTCCACACCAAGTCACACGATGGCCAGCACGAGCTCTCCAATGAGTACCACTGGCGGCAGCACAACGGATACCATGAGCACGAGCTCCTCTGTTCACAGCACGACCGTCACGTCCACGTCAAGTGTCACGATGACCAGCACGAACTCTCCAATGAGCACCACTGGCAGCAGCGCGACGGATACCATGAGCAGGAACTCCTCTGTTCACAGCACGACTGTCACGTCCACGTCAAGTCTCACGATGAGCAGCAGAAACTCTCCAATGAGTACCACTGGCGGCAGCACGACGGATACCATGAGCACGAGCTCCTCTTTTCACAGCGCGACCGTCGCGTCCACATCAAGTCACACGATGACCAGCACGAGCTCTCCAATGAGTACCACTGGCGGCAGCGCGACGGATGCCATGAGCACGAGCTCCTCTGTTCACAGCACGACCGTCACGTCCACGTCGAGTCGTGCGATGACCAGCACGAGCTCTCCAATAAGCACCACTGGCAGCAGCACGACGGATGCCATGAGCAGGACCTCCTCTGTTCACAGCACGACCGTCACGTCCACGTCGAGTCTTGCGATGACCAGCACGAGCCCTCCAATGAGCACCACTGGCAGCAGCACGACGGATACCGTGAGCACGAGGTCCTCTGTCCACAGCACGACCGTCACGTCCACGTCAAGTCTTGCGATGACCAGCACGAACACTCCAGTGAGCATCACCGGCAGCAGCACGACGGATACCATGAGCAAGAGCTCGTCTTTTCATAGCACGACCGTCACGTCCACGTCAAGTCTCACGATGACCAGTACGAGCTCTCCAATGAGCACCACTGGCGGCAGCACGACGGGTACCATGAGCACGAGCTCCTCTTTCCACAGCACGACCGTCACGTCCACATCAAGTCACACGATGACCAGCACGAGCTCTCCAATGAGTACCACTGGCGGCAGCGCAACGGATACCATGAGAAGGAACTCCTCTGTTCGCAGCACGACCGTCACGTCCACGTCAAGTGTTACGATGACCAGCACGAGCTCTCCAACGAGTACCACTGGCAGCAGCGCGACGGATACCATGAGCATGGACTCCTCTGTTCACAGCACGACCGTCACGTCCACGTCGAGTCTCACGATGAGCAGCAGAAACTCTCCAATGAGTACCACTGGCGCCAGCACGACGGATACCATGAGCACGAGCTCCTTTTTTCACAGCACGACCGTCACGTCCACATCAAGTCACACGATGACCAGCACGAGCTCTCCAATGAGTACCACTGGCGGCAGCGCGACGGATGCCATGAGCACGAGCTCCTCTGTTCACAGCACGACAGTCACGTCCACGTCGAGTCGAGCGATGACCAGCAAGAGCTCTCCAATGAGCACCACTGGCAGCAGCGCGACGGATACCATGAGCAGGAACTCCTCTGTTCACAGCACGACCGTCACGTCCACGTCGAGTCGTGCGATGACCAGCACGAACTCTCCAATGAGTACCACTGGCAGCAGCGCGACGGATACCTTGAGCACGAGCTCCTCTGTTCACAGCACGACCGTCACGTACACATCAAGTCACACCATGACCAGCACGAGCTCTCCAATGAGTACCACCGGCGGCAGCACGACGGATGCCATGAGCACGAGCTCCTCTGTTCACAGCACGACCGTCGCGTCCACGTCCACTTACAATTCACCTCTCACGGCGACCGGCACAGCCTCCTCGACGAGCACCGGGGGCACCAGCGTGACGGAAAGCAGCAGCGCGACATCTCCGTACAGTACGACCGTCACCTACATTTCACTTCTCACGGCGACCGGCACCGCGGGCGTGACGGAAAGCAGCAGCACGACCTCACCGTACAGTACGACCGTCACCTACACTTCAGCTCTCACGGCGACTGGCACCGCCTCCTCGACGAGCACCGCAGGCATCAGCGTGACGGAAAGCAGCGGCAGGACCTCTCCGTACAGTACGACCGTCACCTACAATTCACCTCTCACGGCGACCAGCACAGCCTCTTCGACGAGCACCGCAGGCATCAGCGTGACGGAAAGCAGCGGCAGGACCTCTCCGTACAGTACGACCGTCACCTACAATTCACCTCTCACGGCGACCAGCACAGCCTTTTCGACGAGCACCGCGGGCATCAGCGTGACAGAAAGCAGCAGCACGACCTCTCCATACAGTACGACCGTCACCTATCTTTCACCTCTCACGGCGACCGGCACAGCCTCTTCGACGAGCACCGCGGGCATCAGCGTGACGGAAAGCAGCAGCACGACCTCTCCGTACAGTTCGACCGTCACCTACAATTCACCTCTCACGGCGACCGGCACAGCCTCTTCGACGAGCACCGCGGGCATCAGCGTGACGGAAAGCAGCAGCACGAACTCTCCGTACAGTACGACTGCCACAGATTCTTCGACGAGCACCGCGGGCATCAGCGTGACGCAAAGCAGCAGCACGAATTTTCCAATGAGTACCACTGGCCGCAGCGCGACGGTTACCATGAGCACGAGCTCCTCTGTTCACAGCACGACCGTCGCGTCCACGTCAAGTCTCGCGATAACCAGCACGAGCTCTCCACTGAGCACCACTGGCATCAGCAAGACGGATACCGTGAGCACGAGGTCCTCTATTCATAGCACGACCGTCACGTCCACGTCAAGTCTCACGATGACCAGCACGAACTCTCCAATGAGTACCACTGGCGGCGGCGCGACGGATACCATGAGCACGAGCTCCTCTTTTCACAGTACGACCGTCACGTCCACACCAAGTCACACGATGGCCAGCACGAGCTCTCCAATGAGTACCACTGGCTGCATCACAACGGATACCATGAGCACGAGCTCCTCTGTTCACAGCACGACCGTCACGTCCACGTCAAGTGTCACGATGACCAGCACGAACTCTCCAATGAGCACCACTGGCAGCAGCGCAACGGATACCATGAGCAGGAACTCCTCTGTTCACAGCACGACTGTCACGTCCACGTCAAGTCTCACGATGAGCAGCAGAAACTCTCCAATGAGTACCACTGGCGGCAGCACGACGGATACCATGAGCACGAGCTCCTCTTTTCACAGCACGACCGTCACGTCCACATCAAGTCACACGATGACCAGCACGAGCTCTCCAATAAGCACCACCGGCAGCAGCACGACGGATACCATGAGCAGGAACTCCTCTGTTCACAGCACGACTGTCACGTCCACGTCGAGTCGTGCGATGACCAGCACGAACTCTCCAATAAGCACCACCGGCAGCAGCACGACGGATACCATGAGCAGGAACTCCTCTGTTCACAGCACGACCCTCACGTCCACGTCGAGTCTCACGATGACCAGCACGAACTCTCCAATGAGTACCGCTGGCAGCAGCGCGACGGATACCGCGGGCACGAGCTCCTCTTTTCACAGCACGACCGTCACGTCCACATCAAGTCTCGCGATGACTAGCACGAGCTCTCCAATGAGCACCACTGGCAGCAGCGTGACGGATATCGGGAGCACGAGGTCCTCTATTCATAGCACGACCGTCACGTCCACGTCAAGTGTCACGATGACCAGCACGAACTCTCCAATGAGTACCACTGGCGGCGGCGCGACGGATACCATGAGCACGAGCTCCTCTTTTCACAGCACGACCGTCACGTCCACACCAAGTCACACGATGGCCAGCACGAGCTCTCCAATGAGTACCACTGGCGGCAGCACAACGGATACCATGAGCACGAGCTTCTCTGTTCACAGCACGACCGTCACGTCCACGTCAAGTGTCGCGATGACCACGGACTCTCCAATGAGCACCACCGGCAGCAGCGCGACGGATACCATGAGCAGGAACTCCTCTATTCACAGTATGACCGTCACGTTCACATCAAGTTTCACGATGACCAGCACGAGCTCTCCAATGAGTACCACTGGCGGCAGCACGACAGATATCATGAGCACGAACTCCTCTTCGAGCACCACGCTCTCTTCCACGACGGAGTCGAGCACCACGTCGCTGACCAGCTTTGTGGAAACGAGCAGTACCTCGTTGTCCTCCACGACTGAGTCGAGCAGCACTTCGCTGACCAGCACTACGGAATCGAGCAATACAACTTTGTCCTCCACGACGGAAACGAGCACCATGTCTCTGACCAGCACTACCGAAGCAAGCACAACGCACACGAGCAGTACCACGTTGCCCTCCACGACGGAATCGAGCACCACGTCTCTGAACAAGCACCACAGGAACGAGCAGTACCACGCTGTCCTCCACGACGAAGTGGAGCACGACGTCGCTGACCAGCACTACCCACACAAGCAGTACCTCGTTGTCCTCCACGACTGAGTCGAGCAGCACTTCGCTGACCAGCACTACGGAATCGAGCAGTACAACTTTGTCCTCCACGACGGAGTCGAGCACCACGTCGCTGACCAGCACTACCGAAGCAAGCACAACGCAAACGAGCAGTACCACGTTGTCCTCCACGACGGAATCGAGCACCACGTCGCTGACCAGCACTACCGAAGCAAGCACAACGCAAACGAGCAGTACCACGTTGTCCTCCACGACGGAATCGAGCACCACGTCTCTGACCAGCACTACCGAAACAAGCACAACGCGCACGAGCAGTACCACGTTGTCGTCCACGACGGAGTCGAGCACCACGTCGCTGACAAGCACCACAGGAACGAGCAGTACCACGCTGTCCTCCACGACGGAGTCGAGCACCACGTCTCTGACCAGCACTACCGAAGCAAGCACAACGCAAACGAGCAGTACCACGTTGTCCCCCACGACGGAATCGAGCACCACGTCTCTGACCAGCACTACCGAAACAAGCACAACGCACACGAGCAGTACTACGTTGTCGTCCACGACGGAGTCGAGCACCACGTCGCTGACAAGCACCACAGGAACGAGCAGTACCACGCTGTCCTCCACGACGGAGTCGAGCACTACGTCTCTGACCAGCACTACCGAAGCAAGCACAACGCACACGAGCAGTACCACGTTGTCCTCCACGACGGAATCGAGCACCACGTCTCTGACCAGCACTACCGAAACAAGCACAACGCACACGAGCAGTACTACGTTGTCGTCCACGACGGAGTCGAGCACCACGTCGCTGACAAGCACCACAGGAACGAGCAGTACCACGTTGTCCTCCACGACGGAGTCGAGCACCACGTCTCTGACCAGCACTACCCACACGAGCAGTACCTCGTTGTCCTCCACGATGCAGTCGAGCACGATATCGCTGACCAGCACTGTGACCACTACCACTGTGACCGCTGTTACCATGACGACCAGTACCGCGGCCCACACGAGTGCGACCAGCATGGCATCCATGTCCACAGGTACCGCGACCATCGCCAGTTCATCCATGACCATCACAAGTATCATCAGGACCATTAGTGCTGCGACGAGTTCCAGCACCGTGACCACCACAATTGTGACTACAAGCAGTATAACCAGCACCAGTACCGCGCGCAGCATTAGCATTACCTTCGCCAGTACTTCAAGACGAGCGCCGACACCACGTCCACTAACAGCATGAGCAGCACCAACACAGGGTATGCCACTAGCATGACTAATACCAGTGCATCTAGCAGCAGTACTTCTGCCACCACTACCAGCACCACCCAGACTTCTACCACTACGCCGGTTTATGCGGTAATCAGTTCCGTCTCATTGGAAAGTTCCGACGGCGAAGACGATTTAGCAAATGCTGTGGCTGCTTATTTAGCGGATCTGTTTGCCGTGCCCTTGAGTTGGGTGGTCGTGACTGCAACACTCGACGATTCCGTAATCCGGTCTACCAAGTGGGTATTCAAATTCGTGATAGCTGCACCGATAGAGCAAGCCAATCAAGCTTTCGAGGTTATCGAACAGATCGCTAATGATACGACTGCGAATAATTTCGAAGCAAATCTGAATACATTCTTCGAGTCGCAAGGCTTGGAGGTGAATGAAGAATCGTTGGCAGTCACAGCACCAGAACTTAAGATTGTTACTGCCACCGTGACAACCGTGAGTGTGTCTGAGACCAGCGCAACGGCGACCGTGTCAACTGTAAGCGTGACTGAGACCAGCATGACGGTGACCATCACCCAGACTACTGCCACCGTGACCAGCACCATCACCGTGACCACTGCCACAATGACCAGCACCACTACCTGGACCACTGCCACCATGTCCAGCACCACCACCGTGACCACTGCCACAATGACCACCGCCACAGAGTCCACCACCGCTACACTGACCACCGGCACTACCATGTCCAGCATTGCTACATTGACTACCGCCACTGAGACCGCCACTGCCACCAAGACCACCTTTTCCGGTACATCCACCACACCGACAACACAGACGGTAAGATTTGCGGTAGTTTGGTCTGTGAGTGGCTCTATGTCGTTTAGTAGCGATGGCAAGGAAGAGCAGTTGGAGAGTGCGGTGGCGATTGCATTGGCTGCATATTTCGACGTGCCCTTGAGTATGGCGACCGTGACTGCTACGATTGATCGACGGCTCATGCCGGGCAGGGAGCTCACAATCTCGCAATTGTGGACGGTTGTTCATCGGATAATTGCAGATGAAGTCACGATCGGCAGAGTGTATGATCATGCGATTGAGCTGTCCGACGCTTCCAACGTTACCGCCCTTGGATATTTCGACGAGCTTCTGATGACTGCTTTGTCGAATGAGGGCGTGGATAACTCCGAGCCAGTTCAGGTAATTCACGCAGCGCCCCAGAGGGAGATGATCACAGCTTCGACGACGGCGACGGAGGAATCTGTCCTCCCGACAGCGACGGCGGAGGAGGGTGACGCCGCCCCGACGATGACGGAGCAGGACCGCGAGGCGGCAGAAGTCATCGTGGGCATCACCGTCAGCGTGGGCATCTTTTTGGGCGCTCTGGCCGCCCTTCTCGTGAGGTACTGCCGGCGGCACAGGAGTCCGCAGCGGGCCCAAGGAGAGGAGCGGCAGGACGTGGTAATGTCCGCGGATGACCCCGAGCCCGTGGGCGCCCCATCGCCCAGCCCGGCATGTTCGGAGCTTGGCTCAGATGACGCGTCTGAGCTATCGATCTAGTCTTGAGGTGGTCATGGCGCATGCGACTGGCAGCCGGAGGCAGCTCACACGCGCCAACACGCTCGTCGCACGCACTTCTGGGCTTCTGGTCCGTCGAGTTTTCTCCGGCCTGCTTGTGTGCGCTCAAGCTTGTTCATTTTGCAGGGTTCTGGCAGTGGTGACTCCAGGATTTCCGCAGCACTCACCTCATTGGCCGTCCACGCCAAACGCTGTGTGAGAGGCCTCGCACTGCCAGAACTGACCGCGCAACTTCCCCTCAGCGTCTCTGAGTCGTGGTGACAATGGAAGATGGCACAAAGAAGATGCTGGTTGCGCGTCTTGCCGCACTTGTTGTCTATCACTCGGACGCACAACGCTCGCGGTGCACCCGCCACTCCTGCGTGATGATGGGATGTCGAGGTATCTCGGACATCTCGTTCGGAGCCCCTTCCCTGGCCGATGTCTGGAAGATGTCACAAGCCCGTCTGCAAATATTCGATTTAAAGGTTGCCGCCTCTGCCGCCGACCCCACAGGAAGCTCTGTGCGCCATTTGGTTGGGGGGGTCTCTGGGCTCTCTGATAGCTCCAAGATGTTCGTGAGCTTCTTTGGGCTTTGGGCTTTGTTGGACTCTCCGATAGCGCCAGGACGTTCGTGCGGTTTTTGTGGCAAGGTGGGGACCGTTCTCGTGGAGCTCCAGACTCCGTGTTGCCGACCGCAGGTCGTGGTTTTGGGCCTCATGGGGAATTCTCGGGGCCTCTTGGGGACACAGGGATCCGAAATGTGCAGTTTGTCAAGACGCGGTCCTGGGAAAGCCTGATCACTTCTCGAGGACCGTTGCGTGAGGCCTCTCGATCCCTCTTGGAAGCAGTTTTGAATGGGCTTAGGGCTTGTTCTGGGGCTTCTGCGCGCGTCGTCGGGGTCTCTTTTGAGGCTTCTTCGGGTCCGAGGGCCTCCGGAGGCATCCGTGGCGCATTGTGGGGCGGCAGGCCAGAACTGTCGGTTCGGGCTCCTGTTCTTGGGCTGTTCCAGGGGCTCTCTGGGGCCGTTTGGGGCGCCCTTCGGGTCGTCGTGGGGCACGCTTCGGCGGTGTTTGGGGGCCCGGTAGGGGCCTGCTGGGCTACGATGGGGCGATCTTGGGATTTTTTGGGCCGCCCAGCGGGGGGAGAAAGCCCAACGCGCGTGGAAGTCCGAAGGGGTCGGCCGATCTGGCACCGACGCTGCTTGCGCACGTCGAGCTGCCGCCCCCGAGGGCCCGCACGGCTTGCTGATGCCGTTGCGGACGTCGCTTTGCGGACGTCGTCGTTGCTCGTGGTGGCACCCAGGGTGCGTGTGGCACCGACTTCTATTGGGCCCCTGACCCAGATGTCCAGGACGAAGGAGGAGGGAGCCCAGCGGATCGAGGCCTCGAGCAGCTCTGGGCGGGCGGTTCTTGCCCACTTCCGGCCTCTCCGGAGGCCGTCTCTGGTTTCCAGGGCCGCCCAGCGAACCCTGAGCAGGTGTCGGGGGCGGAAAAGAGGGGGGTGATGACTAGGGGGGGTGGATATCATGGCGTGGGCCATGGTATTTCCCCAGATCTCATGGCGCCTCCTCTCAGTTCATCACGTCCCCGACCCCCCCGCTGGGCCGCGCACATGCCGCCGGTCATGATTTGCACCCCCCCTCTTGGACACCCCCCTCTTGGCCGCTCCCGAAGGTGGTGGGGGGGGGGAGGAGCGGGCCCGACGCGGCGCGGGGGAGCTCGGCGACAGGGGCTGCGGTTCAACCGCCGCGCCAGGGTGCCGGGGCAGCTCGTGCAAAGCAGGCAAAGTTCTTGCCACGTGCTGCAGGGCCCGCGCGCGCAGTGCCCCAGGCGCCCCCAAGGCATTTTGACCCTCCCCTCCTGATGCCTTCCGCTGCGTTCGCCGCCGCGAGGCGAAGAAGTGCTATAGTAGCTAGCCCCTCCGCTCGAATTCCCAATTCATGGGAATGGTGGGGTCGCGTCTCATTGAAACTCGCTCGGTTTGTCTCGAACTCTGGCTTGTTCGTCTATTTTTTGGCGCGCCCCTTTGGGGCTTCCCCTTCGCCATGGTGTCCGCCCTTTGAGGCGAGCAGCTTGCCGCTCTGTGAATGGTCTGTTGTGTATCATGCTGGTGCTGAAGCAGAAGAGAGGCGAGAACATAACAACACAAAAAACACTTGGATGCTCGGAGGGAGGGCCTGAGATGGCTCCATTTGGGCTGGTGGTCTTGGGGGCTGCCCGTTATATTTCGGACGTGGCAGGTCCCCATCCTTTTCCTCCTCCTCCTCCTCCTCCTGCCGGGGGGCATTTACTCCTCTTCTAAGCCTTGTCGGGAGAGTTCTGGAATAAGTACTGCTTCGCCAGAGACATCCTTCGAAGCATCGGATCCAGCGTGGTAGCGCCCATAGGCAGCTCACCGCGTGGCTGCGCCGAGCGGCAGCCCACCGCGTGGTGGCGCCGAGAGGTCGCTCACCAGTGGCAGCTCACCGCGTGGTAGCGCCGCGAGGCAGCTCACCAGCGTGGCAGCGCCGAGAGGCAGCTCACCAGCGCGCAGATGCCGAGGGGCGGCTCGCCGCGCTGTGGCGCCGCCAGGCCGCCCACCGGAGTGGAGGCGGCGAGAGGCCGCTCACCGCCCGGTCGCGCAGGGAGGCAGGATCACCGCGCGGTAGCGCCGAGAGGCCGCTCGCCAGCGCGGCAGCGCCGAGAATACGGCGGGCTTCTGCGCGCGATGGCCAGGGATGGGGGTGAGGGGTAGGGCGTCAGATACGCCGCGAGCGCACCCAGCTTGCCCCGCTCCCCCTTCTCCGCGCCGCCTCTCCCTCTCCCTCTCTCCCGCTGTCTCTCTCTCTCTATGCCTCTCTATGTCCGATTTTTGTTGCGCTTTCTCTCTCTCTCTCTCTCTTTATTTTCTTTATTCCTTATTTATTTATTTCTTCCTTTCTTTCTTTCTTTTTCTCTCTCTCTCTCTCTCTTTTCCTTCTTTCTTTATTTATTTCTTTCTCTCTTTCTCTCTCTCTCTCTCTTTTTATTTTCTGGATTCCCTTCTTTCTTTCTTTCTTTCTCTCTCCCCCCTTTCTCGTCCTGCGCCTTCCCTCTCTGCCGCCCCTCCCTCGCCCTCCCTTCCTCGTCCTGCACTCCTTCCCCCCTGCCTCTCCGCATCCAGGGATGCTCAGACAGGTCGACGACGACGGCCACTACGATTCGAAAACGACGACGACGACGCAGGGCGACGAGAACGAACGACGGTCACGACGACGACGACGACGACGAGGAGTGGTTCGAGCTTCGAGGGGGTTCGAGCCTCGAGGGGGCTCGATTTTCGAGGATACAGGCTCCCAGGAAACCCCAAGAAAACTCCCAGATGCTGCCACGGGGCGCCAAGAGGACCACAAGAGGCCCCCATGATGCCCCAGAAGGCTCCAAAACCGGCCCCAAGAGGCCCAACAACGGCCCTCAAGAGGCCCCCGCCAGGCCTCCTTCGACATCCCTCCTTCCTTGCCCTGTCCTGGAGCAGGACTATTGCGAGATGTCGGCGCTTTGGTTTCTGCTGCAATACCTCAGGCGAGGTGATGTGACTTGTGAGTCTACTGTGCCTTTTCGTACGTTTCGTGCGACTGGATCGGCTGCGGGGATTCACGATCCTGGCGGCCGCCTCTCGCGCGGGCCACTTCGGCCCCCAAGTGCACAGGTTTCAAACTTTCTGCTCATGGCGTAGGCTGTATGCCCAAAGCCGCCCCCCAGATTTGTAGTGATGACGGAGGACACGTTTTTGAGAGCTATAACGGTAACAGCTGAGGCACACTTACGAAGAGGTTAGCTACCATTCAGGCCCTTGTTTTGTTTGCGCAGGAGGTTGGGATCACGGAGGAGACCCTGGGTGCTCGGACCAGTTCGGCCAAGAGTCTGGGGTGGAACATGTTGTGCTCGCCATCGACTGACTGTGCGCAGGGGCAGACGTCAGCTGGAGTTGCCATCTTTGCTAGACGTACGGTTGGGTTGAGATGGCCAGACGGACTGGCCAGAGGAGCGGCAGTACCATACAGACTGCTCTCTACCATGGTCGACCTGCCTGGATGGCCACCGTTGTTGGTAGGTAGTGCTTACTTGTACACGGGAGAAGGATTGAGCCAGAGAAACCTACACATACTTAAGATGGCGGAGCAGGTGATGGAAGGTGCTCACTTAGCGTTGCTCGGGGCCGACTGGAACTTCGGCTCAGCGTGCCTAGAGATGTCCGGCATGCCGCGCAAGGCGGGCATGCTAATCGTTTATTTTTTTCAGAAGTGTGAGGTGACAGTGGGGTACTCCCGCATATAGCAGGGGGTGGCCATTGCCGTTCGCACCGCAGACATTGCCTGCTGCAATAAGGTCCGATTCGCAAAAAGGTTCTCACTAATAACGCCCAAGACGTCGCCATCGTTACCTAAGAGGGCCTCAGGGCAGCCCGAGAGGGCCCCAGGATGCCTCCAAGATGGTCTCAGGGGGTCCCACGAATTTATCCAGCCGACCAACGTCAGCTAAACCATGCAGTGGTCTTGTTTGTAGTCCTTCTGTCATTGCTTTCCGCTCAGGATGAGTCCAGGAGGGCTGCGCGGGACTCAGACGCGACCAAAAAGACCCCAAGGTGGTCCCAAAAGAGCTCCACGACGGACCAGGACAGCCCAAAGACGCTTCCAAAAAGGGCTCAAGTGAGCTTCCGCAGGGGCCCAGGATGGGCCGAGAAGGCCCCAGACGCCCCAAGAAGAGGGTCGCAAGATTGCCCCAAGAGGGCGCTCTTAGAGGACTCCCAGTGAGCTCGTCGTCCCAGTAGCCCGCGTGGTCCGAAAAGTCCGGGTGTCTCGGGTGGTCGTTCGAGCCGGATGGTCCTGGTTGGACCGGGTGGTCCAGGTGGTCCGGGTGGTCCGGGTGGTTTGGGTGGTCTGGGTGCACGGTCCGGGTTGTCCGGATGGTCCAGGCAGGTCGGCTGGTCCGGGTGGTCCAGAACCGACCGGAATACATCGCGCGCGGCATCTCGGAGCCCAGAGTGAGGATTTCTCAGGCGAAATTAGCCTGACCATCTCACGCATGGCGTCGTGGAGCCCGGAGTTGCGAGGTTCCGGCGAATTTGGCTAGAATACCTCGAGCGCATCATCTCTGAGCTTGGAGTTGCGGGGGTGCATCAGGCGAAATCGGCCATATCTGAGCCCAGAGTTGCGCAGATGTTTCAGGCAAACCTGGCTAGATTACCTCAAGTCAGGAGCATCTCGGAGCCCAGAGTTGCGGGGATGTCTCGGGCGAACCAGGCCGGACATCTTCGCGCGTCGCAGCTTCGAGCACAGAGCTGCGTGGATGTCTCGAGCGATTTGGGCCAGAGCACCTCTGGCCACCACAACTCTGAGACCGGGGTTGCGAGGGCGTCTCAGGCAAAACGGGCCACGCCACCTCGCGCGCGGCATCTCTGGGCACGAAGATGCGAGGATGTCGCAGGCGAAGCGGGCTGGGCTTCCACAGGTCAGGATATCTCTACGCCCGCGCGCGACATCTTGGAACCCAGAGTTGAGAAGATGTTGCAGGCATGATTAACCAGACCACTTCGCACGCGGCATCGCGGAGTCCAGAGTTGCGAGGATGTTCCAGGCGAGTTTTATTGGATCACCTCGAGCCTGGCATCTCCGATTTCAGAGTTGCGAGACTACCCCGGGCAAATTGGGCCAGCCCGCTTCAAGTCAGGGCATGTTTGGGCCTAGAGTTGCGAGGATGTCCTTGTCGAAACGGGCTGGACCAACTCAGATCAGAGGATCTCTGATCCCATGGTTGCGATGATGCATCTGGCGAGAATGGGCCAGACCGCCTCGCCAAAGGTATCTAGACCCGAGAGCTGCAGGGATATCTCAGGCGAAATGGGCCGGATCACATCAACCTTGGACAGATCTGAGCCTGGAGTTGCAAGGATCCTCAGGCGAGCCGGGCCGCGCATCTTCGCGCGTGGCATCTAGGAGCCCAGAGTTGCGATCAGGCGAGATTGGCCAGACAACCTCACGCGCGGCATCTCGGAGAGTTAGGAGGATGTACCAGGCGAGAATGTCTGAGGCAAAATGGGCCAGACCACCTCGTGCGCGGCGTGTCTGAGCCCAGAGTTGCGAGGATGTCTCTAAGGCGAAACGGGCTGTATCTTCTCAGGTCAGGGGCATATCTGAGCCCAGATTTGCGAGGACGTCTTGGGCGAACGGACCAGATCATTTCGTGCGTGGCACATTGGATCTCAGAGTTGCGAGGATGTCCCATGCGAAATAGGCCAGGCCACCTTGCCCCTGGCAGCTCGGAACCCCAAGTTTCGAGGATCTCTCAATGCAATGTAATGCAGCGCGATGTGGAGTGATGCAACAGACTGCAATCCCATGCTCTGTATTGCAATGCCACGACTTGCAATGTAATGGCATTCCATGCAAGTGCAACGCAAATGCAACATGCAAATGCAGATGGGCATGAAACAGAGGCTTCCATTGTGGGGGATGCAGGATACAGGGAAGGAGAGAAGGAGCACGAGGAGAAGGAGGAGGAGGAGGAAGAGGAGGAGGAGCAGGTGGAGTTGGTTCCCAGAGCTCCCCATGCAACTTGGCATGAACTACAGTGCGACACCAGTAGCAGGTTGTGGGTCTGGCGACGGGATCAAGCATATCGGGAGCGCACTTGGAAGAACAGAAGCTTACTTAGCAGGAACACGACTTATCCTCGCTCCTCCTTTTCCCTTCAGGGAGATAGCATGCGCGTACATGCCCATTCTTGTCGCGCGTGCTATTTTCCCTCGCTCCAGCACGTGTAATCCTAGGTGGGCCTGTCTAGCCACCGAGCATCTCGAGCACCGCGCGCATTGCCTATTACAGCGACACAGAAGCTACAACATACTCGGTGTCCTGGCGAAGGACCCCACCATATGCAGTTGTGAATACAGTTGTCGTATGCGACGCATTCGGAGGATCTCCCGATTGGACCATGAGACGTGTGAGGGGTGTGCCAAAATGAGCGCGCTAGGCGCATGCGAACGCAACCACTGGGGTTGTTGGTGGAGCTGTTTTTCCCGGAAAGGGCTCGAGCCCAGGGTTCTCTTTTAGATGGTTTACCCTCCGGTTTCGACGGCTGTAGGGCCGGCGAAATTATTCTGCGATAGATTACGTGCGGGAGTAGGGCCGGCGAATTAAATTTTGAGGATGTCTCGAGCGAAACGCTTGCTTTTCAGAATTTGTTGAGGATGTCTCGAGCGAAACGCTGGTTTTGCAGAGTTGGGGATGTCTCGAGCGAAACGTTGTTTTCAGAATTTGTTGAGGATGTCTCGAGCGAAAACGTTGGTTTTGCAGAGCCGACCGCGACACGGAAAAGCGCCCCGCGTAGGACTTCCGAGGATGTCTCGCGCGTGCCGCGTCCCGCGCGCAGGAATTTCGAGGATGTCTCGATTAATTCGTTTGTTTTTCGAGGATTTCCTTGGCCACACAGGTGGGTATCTAACATGTTGTGCCCGAGCTGGCACCACGTCGCTTCACGTGTCCAGGGCACCCAGGTGGGTATCTAACATGGTGGTCCCGAGCTGGAGCCACGTGTTTTCACGTGTGCAGGCCACCCAGGTGGAAATCTAACATGTTGGTCCCGAGCTGCAACCACGTGCTTCACCTGTCGAGGCCACCCAGGGGGTGTCTAAGATGGTGGTCCCGAGCTGGAACCACGTGTTTTCACGTGCCCAGGTCGCCCAGAGGGTGTATCTAACATGGTGGCCCCGCGCTGGAACCACATGTTTTCATGTGTCCACGCCACCCAGGGGGGTATCTAACATGGTGGTCCTGAGCTGGAACCACGTGTCCAAGCCACCCATGAGGTCTCTAACATGGCGGTCCCGAGCTGGAACCAAGTGTTTTCACGTGTCCAGGCCACCCAGGTGGGTATCTAACATGTTGGTCCCGCGCTGGAACCATGTGTTTTCACGTGTGCAGGCCACCCAGGTGAGTATCTACATGGTGGTCCCGAGCTGGAACCGCGTGTTTTCGCGTGTCCACGCCACCCAGGGGGTATCTAACATGGTGGTCCCGAGCTGGAACCACGTGTTTTCACGTGTCCAGGCCACCCAGGGGGTATCTAACATGGGCCTCCTGGATCCTTCCTGGGACTCGGAACGGAACGTCGAGAGTTTATTTTCTATTTGATATCGATTCGTTTACTTTTTGGCCTCCAGGCGCCTCTGGGCGTTCCTGGGCCCTCCTGTGCTCCAGACGACCGCATGTTAGATATCCCCCCTGGGTGGGCTGGATCACGTGTTTTTACGTGTGCAGGCCACCCAGGGGGGTATCTAACATGGTGGTCCCGAGCTGGAACCATATGTTTTTACATGTCCAGGCCACCCAGGGGGATATCTAACATGGTTTTCCCGAGCTTGAATCACGTGTTTTTGCGTATCCAGGCCACCCGGAGGGGGTATCTAACATGATTGTTCTGAGCAATGGCCATGTGTTGTAACGAGTCCAGGCTATTCAGGGGTGTATATAGCATGGTTTCCCGAGCTGACACCCTGTTTTTTATGTTTCTAGGCCATCCAGGGGATATCTAACATGGTTGCTCCGAGCAAGGACCATGCATTTTAAGGTTCCGTAGCGCGTCCCCTCGGCACGTCCCGCGGTGCGTCCCCGTGTCACGTCCCCTGGCACGTCGCCTGGCGCGTCCCTTGGGACGTTCCACGGCGCGTCCTCCTGGCATGTTCCCCTGTCAAGTAGCTCTGGGGCAGCTACTATGTGCTGAGGCAGCTCGAGCTTAAGATCCAGATCAGTTCGGTCAGGACTCGGATGCAAAGGAGGACTCGATCCACAACGCTATAGAGCACAATCGCGGCATGGCACATGGGAGTTTAGCACAGCGCAGCACAGCACAGCCCTCGGCACGGTACCTCAAGATCGAGATCGATACACTCAGCATTGCAATCTGGCACGGTCCGTGGCGCGTCCCGTGGCGAGTCCCCCTGGCACGTCGCGCGGCGCGTCCCCTGGCACGTCCCGTGGCACGTCCATTGGCACGTTCCGTAGCGCGTCCCCTCGGCACGTCCCGCGGTGCGTCTTCGTGGCACGTCCCTTGGTACGTCGCCTGGCGCGTCCCTTGGGACGTTCCACGGCGCGTCCTCCTGGCATGTTCCCCTGTCAAGTAGCTCTGGGGCAGCTACTATGTGCTGAGGCAGCTCGAGCTTAAGATCCAGATCAGTTCGGTCAGGACTCGGATGCGAAGGAGTACTCGATCCACAACGCTATAGAGCACAATCGCGGCATGGCACATCGCAATTCAGCACGGCGCTGCACAGCACAGATTTCGGCACGGTACATCAAGATCGATACATTCAGCATTGCGTTTGCCCGTCGCCCAATCAGGTGT